TATTTTTTACAAATAGAGAACTATCATATAACCGGATTACAACATGTGAAAAGAAGGAGAAAATATTATTTTTATTAATAAATATACGTGAAATACGTGAAACATGCATACATGAAAACGACGATTTAATGATTTAGAGTGTCAGAGAGACAAATTTAAAGCCAGCGATTTACTTTTAAATGTAACATTGTTTTATTTCAGAAAACACGTTTCAAAAATACACAAAATATTATAAAAGAATTACGACGTTTCGGGGAATAGCATGTGAATGTTTCACAATTGAAAATTAAACAAAAACATTTTTCGCGTTAATTTGCAGTAACTGAAACGTTTGTAAAAATGTAAACAAAAATCTCATGACAGGCGTCCATAATGCAGTTGAGTATATTTTTTCTTAAGTTTCCTATGTTCTATACATTTTACACACATTTTCGTTTTAAAGCACAAGGTTTTTCCAAGAAAGACGTTTATACAAGGTTTAGCAACTAGGAAAATACACAATCCATTGCATAAAAAAATTAAATTTGTTTCTGTATTGTTCGACGTAACTGTAACAGTAGCACTTCTTTCTTTCCTGCTTGTAAGTACAAGCTTTATATTTACACTAAGAACGGCCAACCTTCATTTGTTCCATGCATTCTGAAGTGTTCGTTTGGTTCACCTACCGCCAACAATATCAAAGAACCCAAGGGGGGGGGGGTTAGGAGGTGTGGCGAGGGTGTCACTCGGAGAGCGCCATTCGCGAACCCGAACAACTCCCCATTCTCTTGTGCCATTACACTGAGGACGCAAACATTCCGTGCGTCGTAAAGCTGGCAGCGAAAGCTCTCCATAGGGGTCTAACAGAGCGCGAGTCACACGCCATTCCGCCGGCGCGGCCGCGGGCCTCCGCCTCCTGCGCGCGCTGGCGTCAACGCACGTGCGTTCTTTGGCGCGCCGCCCCCGCGCCCCCGCGCGTCACAAAGGCGCGAAGACGCCCCGCAGCGAGGCGAGGGCGCGCGTCGGTGTCAACGCGTCTACGCAGCGCACGCTCTCCGCCGCGCCGCGCCCCTGCACGAGCCATTGCCCGCGGTCAAAGGTGTCCGTCCTGCGCGGGGAGGGGGGTGAAGGTACCGTGGTGGACAGGGGGGGCGGAGAGTGGCAAAAATAAACGGTGGACGCAGAAGGAAGATGAAATCAAAGTCGTGTGAAGAGGTGATGGATGTCGTGGGAGCAAATGAGTTGAATACGTTCAACTGAAAGGAATTGAAATAAATTAATGACTTATTTTTCGTGGCGAGACTCGGGCCATCAGGTCCACTCTTCCGTTTGACCATGCAAATTTCGCTAAGCTCCTTTCACCAACTAGCAGAGGAAGGAGGTATTTCTTGGGCGAGAAACAGGTGATTTCAATTAGCTCAGAGGCGTCATTTAGGCTTGAAGATCTTTCACATGCAAGTAAATCTACTAACATGGGACAGCCAGCTTTACTTCCCCTCCGAAGGAAGGCCAACAAAGGATTTTTTTCCCTTACAAAACCACGGCTTCGATCCGGTTTAAAGCCGCCAACTTAGGTATACCAGTCCGATTCGCTAACCTTAACACCATCGACGCGCGCTAAAGGACGACTTCGTTGTGTAAAGATACTAAAACATGTAGGTATTGAATGTTTGTAAACAACATTGTGCCCGAATGGGAACGTGATCAGTAGAGTTTTGCCACAAGTAGGAAGTGTGTCATCTTTCGAAAATATAGACCCAGCACTTTGGAAGACGAAACAGCGTAATGTGTATTGAGAATCATCAGAATTAACGTATAGAGAGATTACTACAAGAAGGGATCGCATTGACCGCTTCTGCCTGGCCTCTGCTGGCAACATTGCTGCAGGTTATACCAATTCACTCATTTTGTCAGTGCCTTCGTTTACATTTATCTCATTTGTAGATGGCTTCTATACTATCCCTTGCAATATCATGGCCCAAACATGCAACTGGATTGCACTCCATCTCTTCCCGCGGCCCTTTCTTACACAATTGGAGTAAGACACAATATATAAGATGAAGAGTGCACTGTAAAAGCTGATAAGACAGCAGTGAAGAAGATAGGACACGTCAAATAGTAGTGCGAACGGGCAATGAGGGACTTACGAAGCGAGTAGGGGCCCCGGGAAGAAAGTTCGATGTGAGGCGGAAGGGAATGCTGGAGCGCTTGCGTCCGAAACCGTCGTCACCCGGCGCCTCACACCGCCTCTTTGTGTCCGCGCCGCCTCGCCCCA